TAATTTTGCTGTTGTAGCAAAACGTCGGTGCGACAGCAATAAAATTTAGTTGGCATAATTGGCAATTAATAATTACAATTAACTCTGACAAGTCTTTTTTCCATCGCAATAATAACGAATAACTTCCTGTGGTAGCAAGAAATTTTTCTCCGTGTGATTTATGAGAATTAACATGAGTCAATTTCTATTTTACACAATGATGAAATGTTGATTAAAAAGCACCGGAGTTATATATATATTCATGATAAATATACGCTTTTGTTTTGATTCTTTAATATATACTAATGTACACTTGAGAACCGAGCTATCTAAAATGGTTCTATGATAAATGAATACCGATGAAAGACAAGACTTCGTCTTGTAATTTAGAATTTATCGGACACGAACGATATACCGATTTCGCGCTCACGGTTGACCGACTCGCGCCTATTTTAACTCGCCCGAGAAGTCGCGGAGAACCGCATTGTCATAAGACAGAATGCCAAGATTCCGGCGAGAAAGTAGTTCGTAGATATAGAAGAGCGTGTGGAAGGAGATCAGTAGGATGATTTGATGAATTCGCCGAAGTTTTCGCCCTCGTGCCACTTTTCCGCACGAAATTGCCGCGGATTCGAGGTTTCCCGTCAAAGGTGTGTGTTGACGGTCGTAGGCCGAGATCGCGATATAGTTCTCGACTTCGTCAAAGTAGGTAAATTGCGGAAATTAGCGAAAAATTATATTTACGATTTTATAAAGACGTCTCTTTTCTCTCGATAATATTTAAATAAATCAACTTACAAATACTGCAACTCGCGAAATAAATGATTTCTAGCACCTATATGGACCTAAAATTTTGAATTTTAAATGGATCTGAAATTTTCACGATGTGTCCTTCGCGGAAAATATGGGTTGTCTTCACGAGAATTTCGGCGAGTTAAGTGATTCTCTCGCTAAGTGACATAAATTGTTTAAGTTGTAAATTTATCGACAAGTATTATTTTACGTCACGATATTTTTACACAAAGGAACACAACGTGTAGCGGTGCGAAAGAATGTCGTGTGTCATACAGGTAATGATAAGAACGATATTGCTCATGTACACGTCATTATCTTGACACGCTCGTAATTCAATGTGCGAAGTTTACAAAAACGCCTCTCTCCGCAAGTAACGAGGAGATCGTTTCTTTTCGTTTCTCACATTATTTCCTAACGACAACCGAAACGCGAGTAATATTCGCGAAACCATCGGCGCTAAACCCGCGTACCGTTTTTTCCAAGTCCGTGTCGTAATCTCTCGAGTAAAATGACTTTTCGTTATCGCCAGGTATCGAGTCATTTCTGACAACATTACTTCTGTCTCATTGCAATTCCAAGTATTGTTCTTTCAGCGAAAAAAGTGGGGGAGGGGGGAGGACGAAGGAAATCTTTCTTGTTTATGATTGTAGCCATTATACATACACTGCAATATATAAATATTATTAGTATTAAAATGGAAATTAATTTACATAATCTTTATAAAGTAGCCACCTGAAAAAGCTGCAAATACAGGAACCGATCATTTATAAGCGATTTAAGGCTCCCAGTTTTTCTGTAGTCGTATCAAATTACTACATCAAAGACGACAGGTTGTGTGAATTTTTTTCACGATGTTCGCCCAAATTAATTAATTTTTTTTCACATTTTATTTAATTTGCGTTTGATAGTATAAATTATTACACCGAGAACTTCTCATTTTTTGTTATTCCGTATTAATAAGCACATATAATTGAATCTATACGTATCTTATATTTTCAGCGAAAATGGAGTTCGTGATAATTAATCGAGATTCTTAAAAGGGAATCTTCGATTAAATTTGACTAATTCATAGAGTCGTACACGGGTGACATGTATAAAAAAATAATTTATTTCGATACGCAATGCAAGAAAAAAACACACACGATTTCTCGCTGCTGAACGTCGTAGTTCGGTACGGCTGTAACGAAGAAGCAGGAACTTTCAGCAAGGATTAAAACGTGGCGCGAGGAATAGCATTTGTGAATAATTGGAATCGTTAGCAATAATTACGTCTTCTGTTTTTAATATACGCGATGGCTCGTTACAAGGCGGCTACGCTAATATCTATAATGTCGAGTCGTTTGCACTAACGAGTCTACGAAAGGTGGACTGCTCTATTAATTTCACATAAACGATTTTCCTGGTCCCGCGCTGCGTTTCCTGTAACGCCGCTTTCTCGGCACCTCTCGGGCGCGATTTGTCGTTACGTTGTCTGCTACATTTTTCAGACCGCTTCATCTCGTCCGTTCGGCACATGCGGCGTGATTTCCAGCGATTCGCGACTGCGAACCTATTTCTCATAATTAACGATAGAAAATATGCGTAAGGAAGTTAAAGACCGTGCACAGAAGAAACAAATTTTGTTAGAACATCAAATGTTTGTCAAGCAAATGTTTGACAGCAGAAAAAAATTTGCTTAGACAGCAAAAAATTTGTTTGGACAGCAGAAAAATTTGTTAAGAGTATTAATTGTCCATATCATCAACAAAGAGCAATTTTCTCCGTGTGATAAGGCCCATTTTTCCTGAGTGACGTTACGTTCTTCGTCATCGTGATTTTTATCGTCAACAGTAAGAGAAATATTTCCTGTTCGAAAAAGCTCCACTAGAGATTGCCGCTCTGTATTGGTCTCCTGACGACGACAGCGTAACGCTATCCACGTTCCGTGAGACAAATGCGATGAGCACCGTGAATCTTTCCGCTACCGTTAACGCTCGTCAGTTACTACCGCGCGTCTTGTTTGTTGGCGTGTTAGGAAAATGACGGGAACGCGGTGCGAACGCGCTTTTCACGCAATTGTACCTTTGACCGCACGCGCACCTGCAGCAAGGTCGCGCGAGGCGAGCGTGTTCGCCGCGAGAAATCTCCTCCACGACTCCGTAAAATTTCCATCCGTGTACATGCAAACGTGCCGGGCAGTCGACGGTCGCTCGTAAAGTATCAGCTTGTTCTTTTTGTCTCAACAGTCGACTCTTATCGCGAAGTTACATACACGTACATGTCTCGGACGATAGTATAATAGTCCGCTTGCTTAACGCAGAGACACTCGGCTCACCATTCCGATTTATTCTGGTTATTTATATCGCGTGATAAAACTTTTAAATGGAGATAAATTTTAAGCGTCATATAAAAATTCAGCTCGCGATTGTTCCTATATTGATAAAAAAAGTTATAGTTATTTTCGGCGCCAAACATATTTTATAGTAGTAACATACTGTATAGTAGTAATATATGCATGTTATTATCGCTGATACTCTTGTTGAACATTTCCAAGTGGATTCCCGTGGAAATCCAATGGACCTCATGTAAGTCCATATAGGATAATAAAAGTCCATATAGGAATCCATATGGTTTGTGAAAATTCATATAGGAATCCACATGGATTTCCTATATGAATTCCCACCTGGTACTTTTTTCAACAAGGATTATAGTAATATTTACTAGAAAGATGGTTCTCATTATTTTTGTGGTTAAAATAAAAAAAGAATATATTTGGCGCCGAAAATAACTATAATTTTCTATCAGTGTATATTCTGTGTTGCCATTTCTTCATGACTTTACGGCTTTCTATCCCAAAAATATCCACCTGACGTTTGAATATTCGCTATTGATATGTTAAATTTTCATAGCACGACGTTATATCCTCTAATTAAACTGCGTCCTTGTTTTGGGGGGAAATATAGGTGCACCTCCTTCGCGGGCATTCCGCCGCGACACGTCGCTTTCGTTTTCCTCTCTCTCTCTCTCTCTCTCTCTCTCCTTCCCTCTCCCTTTTTTTTTCTCATCGCAGCTCTATAGATGTACATATCAGTCGCGAGGATATCGGGGCGGTACATGCACGACGCACGTGCGGTTCTCTTTATGTGATGCGAACAGGCGTACGAAAGGGAGCAAGAGAGATCGAGCGGCTCTAAGAGCGGCGGCTAAATATAATCCGGAGAACAGAAAACGCGCGTAATCCCCCCCGCTTAGAAACACCAGTTAGTCGCCTTAAAACTACCCACTGGCTCGCCGTTCGTTTTGGGGTTATACCGGTGCCAGTTCTCTCCCCCTCCGACCCGCCGGACCTCGCACATTTCCCGCACTCGTTCCCGCAACGACACGGGCTTGCAACTGCAGTAACTTGGCTGCAGCGCTCGCGCACGTATGCGCGTTTTACGCGCGTCGCTCCGATTACGCACCTGTGCATCGGCGGAGGCGGCGGTGTGTATGTGTGTATGTCGCGCGAATTGCGATTGTGTGTCGGGTGCTACCGCGTGCGCGCTCGCGCGAACGCGCGCGAGTGAGCGTGTTCGACGGGCAGTTTAAAATCCTTGTAGGAAGTCTGGTGTTTCCCGCGAGCAGTGCAGGAAGAAAAACGCTTCGATTTATATCTCGATACTATATCAAAGCTACAACGATGTTCGTATTTGCTATATGTGTGTTACCGATACGTGATTGCATGCGAATACCGTACGTCGTTCGTGGATAAAAGTGTGTTAGGGGGACCAACATTTCTGACGTGTCACTGTCACGCGCTCTAACGTCGAATTTTGATACGCAATTGGTGATACGATCGAGAACACTGAACCTGGATCGTAGAAATATACCTTGACATTTAGCTGTCGCACGTGAAGGTGAAACTGATGGAAACCGAGATTGGCCGACGACGTGCGAACTGACAAATAGCTCGGTCGCGAGAGACAAGCGGAATTTACTCGGGAATGTATCGAGGAATGTCTCTCGAACTTGTACCATATCGTACATAATTTATACTCCGTATTATCTCCGTGTTATCTTTTTAAAGATAGGAGAGATTTTGTGGAGTGACCTAATTTTCTTTTATAAAGTACTAAGAGAGTTAATAGAATGCTTTTCATTGTTGAGGCTGGTCTCAATTAATGTTCTCCCTCGAGCTCTAAAAAAATCATCCCCTTTTTTCGATTGGATTGCATCGCACTCTATACGGTAAATGCAAACCCTTAAATACAAAGGCGATTCACGCGAACGATTTGGGTAGCAACATCGATATTAGTTTTATGTCTTTGGCTACGTTCAAATCTTCTATCATAAAATCATTGCTCATATAAATGTTTTGTATTCCCGAATTCTTATTGTGTATTTTATCACCAAAGGGATGCAATTCCCGTGAATAAATCCAAATGAAATGAAATTATACATATCATATATAACATACACAGGTGTATTGTGTTTGAAAATATTTTGTATATTTTTACGCACATCTTGCGGCCTTTTATTTATTGTAGTAATGTTTGTCGAATGCCGAAAGTGTCAAAGTGTCTCGCGCGGCTATTTAGGGACTAAACAGAGGACTTCGCGAGGAATTAGCGTTGGTCCGCGAAGCCTCTATTTTCGTTGCAACGCGACGTTGCTTATTCTAGAAACAGTGAGAACGCAGGTCTCTGAAGCCTCGATTTTTACACCTTTTACACAGAGAGCGGAATGCAAAGCGAACACGGAGCGTAGGAATTTCGAGTTCTATTTCAGTTTTACGGGAGGACTAAACGCGCCGTCATCTGCGGGTATTCAGCGAAGTATCAAAAAAAAAAACCACCGGGACTGATACGTAATAATTCACTGCTCCTGCAAAATCCTATTTTAATACCGCGGACTTCTGTTTACCTCCGTCTTTCTCCATTTATTATCGTGGCGATGAGAAACCGAGAGAATTAAATCGAAAGCGTAGAAATTCGCGGCTAAGAAAACCCGACGCCTTACTGACCGCGAAAGTCAAGTGCAACATCGGACAATTTCTCGAGATGATAGCTTTGTTGATAGCGAAGCGCTTAAGAATGAAGAGGGGGCGCGCAATCTTCGTTAATTAGAGATCGGATCGGCGAGTCTCTTCGCGGACACAACGCGGCGTTGCAGCTGCGCGAGATCGCCGCGCTATGCGACGCGGAGCGACGCGACGCGCGCGGCGCCGGTTGTGCAATGTGTGTACACGCGCCGTAATACGGACACATAATTGTTCGCCCGCGGTTGTATAATACGGCTTCCAGCCGCGTCGGCAGTCGTCGGCGAAGCGTCGCTCCGGCACGAGCGCGTCGTAAAAACCGCGCGGATTCAGCCGCTCGCGTTCGTCGCGACGTTATCGACACTTGAAGCGCGAGAAATATCGAACCTGCAATGATCCCGCGAGACTCGAGCGACCGTCGGGCGCGAAATTCGCGCGAAAAATCATCCCCGGACGCCCGAGTCCCGTCGGAGCCTCAGAAGTGCCAGTTAAATCGTTGTATATCGAGTGCAGTGAACGTGATATCAGATCGATTGTCGAGACTCGATATCGAGTAGTATCGTCTATTTACTTGACAGCTGCTTAGTAGAGTATGTCAGATTTCACGGTTCGAATTTGGCACGTCAGAAGCGTCAAAGTTCGATTTATCTACCGCGACCTTCGCCGGCTCGAAGCGGTAAATAATAAAAATGCAGAAACTTGCGTTCGCCGTCAGTCTGGCGAAATAAATGTCGAACGAAATAGAAATGATAAAACTCGCTCTCGCGTGCTCTCTCGCGTATGTTCCGCTCGCGATTCATTCGCATCGTCGAGCGTCATTTCCGTCGACGCGAGGGTACAATCGCGAATTCAGCGCGTTAGCGTGAATTCGCGCTGCTACGCGTCGTTGCTGCGAGGTGGCGGCCGCTTTTTGTGCTCGTTACGCGAAACTGGCCGGTCGTCATCGGCGGTAGGCTTGTCTCGCGCTATCCAGTGCGCGACGTGACGTCGGGACGCGAGTGATGCGCGCAACTCGTGCAACGGGAGCGTGAAGTAATGAGGAAAGAAGAAGGACAGACGCAGGCGCGGGATAGACGGAACGAAAGAAAAGGAAAAGAGAGAGAACAAGACGGATAACGACTATCCGGGCAATTCCGAGCGAAATTGGAACGCGTTGCTGCCACCCGGCGCGTTCCTGCGAATCGCGCTCGCAATTGCGTAACACCGGCCACCGAGGAAGGTGTGACCATTCGTTCGTTTGTTCATCCGTTCGCTCGTCCGTTGTTGCTCCGTTGTCCATCCGCCGTACTCGTCATCGTCGACATACTCGTCATGCTCGAATAACACGTTCGCGCGAGTGTGCGCGCGTGCTTACAATCTTCGAGCGGTCGACACCGTTCGAATTCCATCACTCGCGACGCCGTTGCGCGCGCTTCCACGTGAGCCGCGCGTCGAGAGCCAAGGTGAAGCCGGGGAAGGAAAGGAGGTGGGTAAACGTGAGACGAGGAACACCACGCGATGACGCGTCCGTGGTAAATTTATTGCCCGACGTCGCTTTCTTTATCTCTCGTCGCGAATGTCGCGCGAATTCGCGCGGCGGGAGAGTGGCGATTCCGCGGCGCCGCGAAACCCGTCATTGTCGAGGCCGTTACCGTAACGCGAAGCGTCTGTCCGACGTTTCTTCCTCGCGATTTGCCGCGTCACGCGCGCCTCGAGGCGCGAATCGTGCGAAGCGCGCAGGACGACACGCGGAAATCGTGCTCTCGGGAGTGCCCGTGAGTGCCTGTGAGTGCGAAATTCGCCGGAACCGCCGGAGGTATCGCGTCACGATATCGTCGCGATAAGTGAAATTCGCAAGGGATTGCCGGGGGTATGTCCTTGTAATCACAATTTGTGGGACATAGGACGCAGGAGTCGCCAGGCGTCGTCGGTGTGCTTGCGATAAGAGCGAGGCTCGCGGGATCACGTGGACGGCCCGGCGATAAAACGAGACGCGGTGTCGCGCAGCCGAGGAAAGGGACGACAGCAGAAATAAATAATAGTTGTGCGTCGCCGGGCATTCGCGCGACATGGAACTTCGCGTGCGATAGGGAAAAACGTTTGCGCCATCGGCGAGTGCGCGCATTGCTCGTAAAATCGCGTCGTAAAGTAAAATGCTATGAAAGAGCCGCTTGCGAACGGTTACCGGACTGTTACGTGTCGTATGAAAGGAAACTTCTCGGTGCCGGGCAAAAACCTCGCGCGAATCACGGATTCTTCGGTAACGAGAACCTCGCGACGTCTGTTCGCGCGCATCCCGCTCGGAGACCAACGATCAATTGAGGCTATCAACGCGTTCTCCCTTTACGAACGATCAGGGACTGATCGAAGACGTTCAGAGAGAAACGAAAAATACTTAGATTCAATTATCGTAACGTTCATGTATGATCACACATATCATGAAAATCCACATGCTGTTCGGGAAACAGTTTTTCGACGTCAGTTCAATTGTAACGTATAGACGGACATGTATAAACATAGGTGAAATTGTTTCTCGCAGATTTCACATTTTTCCTATAATTTTCTAATAACGCATTTCGGGCCGTATGTTTATATAACAAATTTTTCTTATTCCTGCTCATAGAATGTAAAACTATTGAAGTGTGTACGGAAAAACCTGGGACACCATGAATAAGATTAAAGGACAACATGTAAGGGTATGTAATAAATGTAGCAAATAATTGTGATTTCGACGCTTTTAGGACGTCTAAAAGAGGTGTTTACGACGTCTTGGGACGTCTTATTGCCGTAAAGACGTCTTTTCGATGCAAGAGAGAGACCTTTTCCGCTCAGCTAGACGGGAAAATGAACGTCACGACGACAGGCGGCAGGGTTCTTCCCGCTCGCGATAACAGCTGCGCGCATTTTCGAGACACGTTTTGCTTCACCGTTGCTCGCCTTGATTCGATCGCGGCTTAGTGGAGTTTCTCGCAACGGGATCTCGATAGGATCTCGAGGAGGGAGAGGAAGAAACGAAACGCGAAGGGAAGAGAGATCCGAGCGGATCGATTCCACGCGGAGGAGTCTCGATCTCGATCTATATATAGCGTCGCCGAACGGAGATGAACGAGGTTAGGCACGTTCTGACGGCTCTGAGGTCTCCCACGAAGAGCTCGACCTTGAACAACAGCGTGGGCGTCGCGACGACGACGTGGTACGACGTTCCGGCGCCTATCATCGTTCACTGCCGCGAGTTCCGCGAGGACGCGGGCCGCGGCGAAGAATTCGACGCGAAGGAACGCGAGGAGGGAGACGAGAAGGAGTCGGAAATTATCTTGTCCTTCGCGGAGAAGGACACGGGTGTGAAATTCATCGACGGCAACATGGAAACCGGCCGCCGGGGGAAGTCCTCGGAGAAGGATCCGAGCGTTGGAGGAGCCTGGTCCTCCAACAACGGCGAGGCGTTGTACCAGAATAACGTAGAAGCGGCGTTGAACAGCCTGAGCAAGGTCTGCGCGGAGACGTCCTCGCCACTCGAGACAGCTCCGGAGGGTTGTCGCGCGAACGACAACCGGGACAGCCGGAAGAGGCACAGTTCCACGGTGGAGTTGAACGCCACTGCGGTGGTGAAGACCGACAGCGACGGGGTGCCGACGATAAGCTTCAGTTTCCTACGTGCGGACGAGAAGTTCCACCCGGAAACCGCCGATGAAGAGGAGGTCGTCATCCTGGAGGTCGACACGAGCGATCAGGTCGACTGCTCGGCGGCTGATCAACTGTACGATCTTCCCAAAAACGCCGTCTCGGGCAATAATTCGGTCTCTTCGGAGCAACGAAGAGACGAAACGGACGTCGAATCCTCCTCGTCGCCGACGGTATGTCAGGATCTTTACGACGTGCCGAGGCCGGCGAAGCAAGACGTATCGCGAGATGAGGAAGCAACCGATTGCTGTCAAAAGAACCCGGGGGAAGTCCGGGGGGGAACGCTCGATATACCCAAGAGAAACCAAGGCGACCGGATGAAGCGGTCGACCAGGTCGCTCAAGTCGGGCAGAAGGAGTTACGGGGCGTCCGACAGCGACGGCTACGACGCCGGCATCGCGTCGATGTCCGGCTCATACTCTGACCCGGAGTGCCCGAACGAGGCGGCGTTGTCGGTGAGCGGCGGCTCGGAGCGCAGCAAGCGGCTCAAGCTGCAAAAGAGACGGCTCGGCAAGGCCTGGGGCAGGATGCGCAACTGGTTGCGAGAGGAAAGGACCAAGCTCGGCGAGGTGGTGAACAGGCACGCCAAGATGCAGGCGGTCGGCGCGCTCAATGCCGAGGTAGCCGAAGCAATATCCGTATTTTTGCGAAAAGCGAGAAAAATCAGGAAAGGGGGGAATAACAAATAGTAAAAAAGGAGCAATCTCGACATATTGATTAACACATCGAATGCCATCGACGGTCATCGGGACTGACCGATACCGACGACGGATCTCCTTAATTTACCCGCGAGACGTAATTAACTGCGTATAACGAATCGAACCGTGCGATCATTAGGGAACCAATTAAAAGATGAGAAATGCGCGCACTGAAGATTGAATTTATCCATATCGTATCGTTGGTCGTGCAATCTTTCAGTTGAGTTTTTGAAGGATGGAAATTAGCGGCATTCGATGTGTTAGTGTACGGGGGAAAAGATTGGATGAATTGATGTGACAGTGAATGAGCTAGATGCGTTTCGATTGAAGGAGGCAGGACTTTGTTTACTTTATTATTTTATTTATAGCATGAGCGAGGAGAAATTTCCTTTTTTTACATAAAATAAAGGGAATAATAGAAATCAAAAGTACATGAAGTAAATTTAAATTTTGAAATGGTCTAATTTTTGAGTTCAACATTACTCTAATTGGTTTACATACTCCAGCTAGAAATTTAAGAAATAATGAACTCTTTCATGTCGCAGTTCACCGAACATTGTATGAAAGATTTAAACTGTTAATCGCATTAATATGTTTGCTAACCAATATTCGGATGTTGTTTTATTTCTTAATATATTTAAAAATGCTATCATAAGAAACATTACTAATTAATTAATAATATATATTACTCTATTTATATATATATTTTTTTTTGTTAAGAGATGAGTTTTGACCTGTTAATAAATTACATTAAATTAAATAAAAAAAAAATTTAATTCTTACGAACCAAATTCGGCCTTAGAAACCAGAAATTCTGTTTCCAAGACGCGTTTCGTTCATTATCACGTCAATTCGGCCAATCTTTTATCTCGGTGCGATGGTTGAGATAGCGAATAGATAAAACAGATCGGGGGATCGAAATTGTAGAGGTCGAAAGTAATTCCAGAGAGACCGCGGAATTGATGAAGGTGAAAAAAATTGAAGAGAATCTCAGGTTCATTCATATATGCAAGTTTCGGAGTGAATTAGAGTGGAGTGAACTTGTAATTAGTAAGAGCCACAACCTCGCGTTCGAAGCGGACTTTAGGAATTGCGGGTCACTTACACGTGACTTCGCATTTCCACAATTTCACTCCGCTTTCACTCCGAACCCTTTATACGTCGCCTGAGGTTCCCCGTTAACCGTAACTAATGCCAAGGTAGCATCGGGACCGCCTCTCGGGGCTAAACGACACGACTCCTCGATTTCCAATCGAGGAGGAGACTTCGACTCCTCGATCGTCCTCGGTCATTCTGAATCGCAATCCATCGGCAACGAACACGAGAGAGGCGAACCTCTCGCGACACTTACCCGCGTGAGCACAAAAACGTGAATGTAAATGAAAACGAAACGAGGTTTCCCGTTCGTGCGTTTTTCCCGATCGTCTCGACGGATCTTTCAATTGCGAATTTTTCGCTCGAAGACACAGAGCGAGGCTTCTGGGGTGTCCGGCAAGAACAAGCAACGCGGTTTCTACGACCTGACGCGAGCTCATACGCAGGAGTCCGGCTCGATCACCAGAGTGGAGGAGTACGGTCTCTCGTCTGTCTCCGAAGAGGCAAACGTCTCCGACGTGGAGAGGCCGGCGTCGGCGTCGCCCGACTCGGGCAAGGCGTCGGCGAACGGTGTTGGCGCGTCGGAACGTCGGTCGCGGCAGCTGCGCGGCAACCTGAGACAGAAGACCGCCAGCTCAGACGACATCCTGGAGGGCAGGTCGAGGCTGCAGCCGCAGCCGGTGTCCTTCAGCATGGACAAACTCTGTTCGGACACGGAGAACGACGGGGCGACGACTACGATGACGGCGGCTGACGTTGAAGCGTCGAGGGACCACGTCGGTGGGAAAGGTGGCCTGATTAAGAGGAGAATGCTGGGGTCAATCAGGGGGTTAATGGCCTCGACTCATCTGCTGCAGACCTACGAGATCGAGGAGGTACTTGGAGCTCTCTCTCTCTCTCCCTCCCTCTCGTGTCTCGTTACTTTTCTTACCGGTCGCGCCGTTACAACGACCGACGTGTTTGCGCGGTTGTCACGCACTTGCGACGGGTGAGTGCGATCGAACGCGCGCTACACTACATGAGAAAGAGAGAAAGAGAGAGAATAGGAGAGGTGAAAAGAGAGAAAGAGAGAGGAAGACGCGGTACCGTGAGTGGGAGTAAAGGGCGTAATCGTGGTATGTGTGTGTGTGTGTGTATGTGCACTTCGATCGGAAGCAAGTTACGGATACGTTCGGACGCACGAGTGCCGCCGAGAGATACGATTTGAATAATTCAAATTGAGTTAAAGTTAACAAGGCAGAGTCGCTCGGTAACGGACAGTCGGAAGTACCCACTAACGTTGAATAGAAGCTTTTATTTCGGGAATTTTTTGCCTTCTTTTTTGTCACGTGAATTCTGCTTTTACGAGTCGGAGGAATTTCCATATTTAACGGATTTCCAGCACTCGCCGGCGACCCGAGGAGGACCCTCGCGAGTAGCACGCGTGCGGTGGCATACGCGGCGATAATCCTTGCGCGCAGTATATTTACATTCGCGCGTCTTCCACGCGCGGCGAACGCTGGATCTCACTCTCTCTGTCTCTCTCTCTCTCTCTCTCTTGTTGTATAATGAATCGGATACGCTATACCGCGGTGTCCTTGTCCAGCAGTCCAGATGTTGTAGGTGTTTAAACGTCGCGCTCGTAACAAACGAGGTCGTGAATGAGGTTTATGATTCATAACCGATTTAGGTTAATATCGACACGCACGGGATCATTAAGACCCGCGCTGCCGGGCAATGAAGATCGCTCGGCAGCTATTAATTAACGAGAGGTCGCCAAGGTCGGTCTTAGTTAGTTAACGTTCGAGAGGCATTCAGGCAGGATAGAAATCATTATTGAATCGAGCGACCCGTGTGCTTCGCTCTTGGCGCGTAAACCGCGCCCGGCGAAATGGACACCTGGTTTAGCCGATTAAAATAACTTGCGCTTAGCTACTCGTGACTCATTTATCAATATTGAATGACGTATTATTACTGAAAATCGAGCTTCGCCGCTTCGGAGTATCGCTGTCAAGCGTCCGTGATTCATGCCGCTCGTTTCTTCGCTTACGCCAGTCTTATTTCATTCTTAACGTCCGCTCAGGTGAGGCGCGTAAAACTTACGGCCGCCCCGCGAATTCTAAGGGGAACGGAAATTTGTTGCAAAATGCCGAATCGTTCTTAAACCGTGTCCTGTCGAGGGTACCTCAGTCAATATTAGCTCTTTTCCTCGCTCTCGCGCGATTTACCTCGTCGCGTGAAAGCGCCCAGGGGATATAACACGCACACGGAGAAAATATTGTAATAAATTACGACGAAGTTTTGTAACGCTGGACCATACTGGAATTATAACTGGAATTACATAATGTTACATGTGCTGTAATCTATAATGATGCAACGAAATACATCACTAAAAATTACAACACACATAATAATTTCAGTCATAATTCCGGTATGGTCCAGCATGAAAAAATGTGGTAATTTTCATTACGATGTTTTCAATCAATTGACTGATCAATTTGTATCATTGATTCTCTCAAAGTAACATGATCTTTTAAGTTTCATTTTCTTCCGAGTGAGGCAGCCGGATGTTCGCGTAATAAAATATGCGGAAAGCCTCGTAATTTGTTAATTATAGTAATGACATCAGGATATTACACATCGCGCGTGGAATGCATTATCTACTGAATTCTCGAAAGCTTTCGGCTCAAGATAAAGAACGGCATTTGAGTCTCCATTACTTGTACATGATTAAGGAACTCCTTATCCCGGATAGATCTTCCGGCAGGCCACGAACGCACTTCTATTTTTATCGCCCATCATCGTGATGCGTTCGCGTACGATTGTCGTGTTTCCACGGTGATTTCGCATCCAATGCGAGCCGGGTGGTCATTCCGGCCGCAGACTTTACGAGATGCACGCGCGATAAATCAGCAACACACGACCCATAGAAACCGAACGCGCTTTTTTCGCGGCACGCTCTTTCGTTGCGAAAGTCTTTTTGCCGAACGCCGTCTTCTTATCGACGACATTTCTTGCGTCGGCATTCGCTTTCGCTATTAAAGAGTTTTCTCGCGCTGTCGGAAACGCTTCTTGTCGTCTCGCTGGATCAAAAGTCGCCGTGCTGCGCTCTCAGGTATGGATTGGTCACGCACGTAACTCGGCGGAACATTGAGTGCTAGTTATGCTCTCGGCAAACATTATCTGCGAATTCTATATTCACGATTTATTTGGTAACGATATTCTTCAACGCAACGTTATGTTGCAAAGACTAAGAATTGTATCACTTTGAAGATATCGTTCTTTCTATCCAGTATCTTCCCCTCTCAATTCATAAAAATTATTCTTGAATAGCCGTGGTAGAAATTTAATGCATTTGTGGAGCAATTATTGGAAAATGATTTACTTTCTGTCTAGTAACTGAAGAGTGAAACTAATAATGGGATCCGGATCATAGATATAACGCTTTTCCTGCAATTATTGCACACGAAAATCTGAACCCTTTTACTGAACGAAAACAGAACGATAAATGGACGAGAAAACTATTCAATTGATCAACACTGGACAATAACTGGACTGGTGTTTATATAAACTGCGCACATTTTTATCAGAAAAACTGTTTCAGCCATTAAATAAAACTCTATCAAGTTCTTGTTCATTTCCTACACAGTATTGTTACAACTAATGAGAATGCATGAATGAATTAATACTAGACAGTAATTAGATGGATATGTAGGAAAAGTGCATACATTTCTGCTAGGGAACAAGAATATGATATTCTTAATGAAACTGTATAGAATTTTTTCATGTGCAAGCAAATTTTATCTTCATATAAGATTATATATTCTTGCTTATATATGAAAATATGAATCTTAAATTTTGATACTAATTTTTTTTCTATGCACCGTGAACCAGCGTTTAGCTCTTATTGGACGTACCCAGAGAAAAAGGTTTCTTTAGATTTAATATTTCTATTTATTTGACTAAAATTTGTTTCACAGAAACAACATATTTGCTTATATGAAATATTATTTATTTGAGTAAAAATGTTACTGTCTCATTCAAGAAAACTATCATTTAACAGAAAGAACGCTATTATTTGAAATAATATCTTTTAACCAAATAAAATATTATTCGGTTACAATAAATATGTAAAATGAAACAAATGATTTCTTTATAAGAAAGTTATCTTTCGTTTCAAACAAATTTTTTATTTAAGATAAAGATACATATTCATCGAAAAGTCTAACAATCGTACGTATTAATCGAAACATTAGTTTCTTCGGAGCATGCCAATGGTGAAATTTGTTTGGATGCAATAAGATTTCTTAAATTTGAAGATATCTTTTTCTCAGCATACGTTCGTAAAGATTCCAAAAGTTCCTCCGGTGTTTAAAAAAAAATATCAACCGATGCAATCGCCACGAAGCGGACGATCCGTGAATGACTTACCACGTTCTCGAGCGGGTTCGAATCGTGCGTCGGGAATACTGCTCGCCGTTTTCCAGCTCGCGGCTGCTTTCCCCACGTCGCGAGCGTCGAAATTTTACATCGACCGATCGTCCGATCGTGAGATTTATCGACTGTCCGGGAGAAATGGCGCTAAGCCGGGCACGAGCATGCCTCGAAGCGCCGCGGAGGAGCCAAAGCATGGAAAGTGTGGGAAAGTTGCGCGGAGAAAATAGCCGACTTTGTTTCGCACACGTGTGTGCACATGTACTTACCGCGATGTGCGCGCCTACACACAGCCCGGGCTTGACCGCCTTCCTCTCGCGAGTCCCGAGGATCGTCGAGTACGCGCGCGCGCGCATGAGTGCGTTTAGGCACGCGCGGCCCTGATGAACGGGAAAAGATCGCGCGCTGCACCTTGACTCGCTGGACTCGCATTTGCGACCGCGAGTTTCTTCGACAGCGCAGCGGTGGGGCTCATTGAGTTTCTCTCCGCGCACTTTTTCCGCAATTACGTCGGGAACATACGATTCGTCAAGGACGTAGAGCGCCATCGGGTGCGTAAACAAGATTGACGGGTGAATTTCATCAGCTCTCGTCCGAGTTGAATAGACAGATTGACACGTTCACTTTTTTTTTATCCGCTCATGTAGAATTGTAGGTAACAATTGAGTAACGCTCAGTCTCCGACTGCAATTATCGATCACTTTATGGCAAATTACCGGTTACTGGCGAAATATCATGTCGTCCTTGCTCGCGATTGCATCTTCATCCGCGTCCTTTGCGCAGTGCCGTTTGACGCAACGCTTTCGCAGAATTGCGGAAAAGCGAATACATGAGGCGCGCGATGATGAGGGAAAGGAAGTGAGAGAAGAAGAGAGAGAGAGAGAGAGAGAGATTCTATTCAGATATTTCGTCGACGTACGCGAAATTAAGCGCGCTGGAAAGTGTCGTTGGCGCGCGAGACGTGCATGCGCGCCAACGACCAACAGACACGGTTTGTGTCTTCGCGACCTCTGCGATTTCTCTGCGCTAAGTTAAAACGGAGGAAGTATTGTCAGTAAAAGGGAAAGGAGCGATTCGTTAAATATTCCGACGGTGTGCGCGGCCTGCGAGAGTGTAGAGTTAACTCGTGTGTTAACGCGAAGAGTAGCGTCGCTGTTTTACGATTTCGCGTTGTAACGATCGCCCGAGGTTCGCGCGTTTATGCGTGGAACACAGAGAAACGGGGATAATAGTCGTGTTTAGCGTATATACATTTTCAATAACAACGCAAACGCGCGATCAAGCGGTTCAGATTAACTCAATTTTCCAGCCATTAGAGATGAGATATGTACTTTGTGCGCGTATTTTGAATCTTGAATGAACTCTCTTGGAGATCGGCAATGGGAACGCAAAGGATATTTCTCTGACCGATTCACAACGTCACGATATTTCGTTTCTTCCAAACGAAACTTGAGTTGGCAAA